TTAAATAATTATTTTCTCTCGGTTTTTACACAGGAAGACACTAACAATATTCCGGTAATTAATTTTTATAGTGGATCAGAAGAAGATAAATTATGTAACATCACAGTCACTAGTGAAATGGTTGTGAAGCAGATAGACCGACTGAAGCAAAATAAGTCACCTGGTCCTGATGAGGTTTTTTCAAGGGTTCTAAAGGAATGCAAAATGGAAGTCTGTGAACCATTAACTAATATTTTTAATTTATCTCTTCAAACAGGTGTAGTGTCTGATATGTGGAAGATGGCTAATGTAATTCCTATTTTTAAAACGGGGGACAAGTCGTTACCATCAAATTACCGCCCAATAAACCTGACCTCAATTGTAGGCAAATTACTAGAGTCAATTATAGCTGAGATTATAAGAAGCCATCTCGATAAGCATAGCTTGATTAATGATACTCAGCATGGATTCACAAGAGGCCGGTCTTGTCTAACTAATTTATTAACTTTCTTCAGTAAAGCTTTTGAGGTTGTTGACCACGATAAAGAATTTGATATTATTTACTTAGATTTTATTTAGTAAGGCATTTGATAGAGTTCCGCACCAAAGACTGTTGAAGAAAGTAGCAGCTCATGGCATTGGGGGAAGGGTGCTCTCGTGGATCGAATCATGGCTCACAGACAGGAAGCAGAGAGTGTCCATAAATGGGGTTAAATCCGAGTGGGGATCAGTAACAAGTGGCGTTCCACAGGGATCAGTCTTGTGCCCGTTGTTGTTTATAATATATATCAATGATCTTGATGAAGGAATTACTAGTGATATGAGCAAATTCGCCGATGACACGAAGATAGGTAGGATAATTGATTCAAACGTAGATGTTAGGGAACTTCAGGAGGATTTAGACAAACTCTACTCTTGGTCAGAAAAGTGGCAGATGCAGTTCAATGTAGATAAATGCAAGGTTCTGAAGCTCGGGAGTGTCCATAACCCTAGCACTTATAAGTTAAATAATGTAGAACTTAGCCATACAGATTGCGAAAAGGACTTGGGGGTTATGGTAAGCAGCAACCTTAAACCAAGACAGCAATGTGGAAAAAGACACTAATGTACAGTTCAGGACATTTATTAAAGGAAACGTTTCGCCACGAGTGGCTTCTTCAGTCCTAATACAGATAAAACTAAGAAAACATTTATATATATAGTGGCAGGAGTCAGGTGAGGTGACGCGTGGGTAGAGGTGGTGGTAGTAGTAGTAGTAGTAGTAGTAGTAGTAGTAACAAGATCCCATGATGCTGCAGTGTCTGACAGTTGTGATGAATGGTTTGAAAAACCGACATGTAGTAGTAGTAGTAGTAGTAGAAGTAGCAATGGAACTAAGGAGGTGAGGCAAGAGAGGGACCTGCTGGCATCAAGTAACACCAGTTCCCAGGATGGGTAATATCCTCTTGCTTAGTAATTTTGAAATACTGTAACTACCGGATTTTTGCTTTATAGTGTTACTGACAGAAATTAGTGCAGCTTCAATGCATTTTCTCCGTCTTAAGTCGTCTTCTTTAATAACTAGTTTAGCTTCATTGAATTTCATGAGGTGTCCAACATCGTCTCTATGTTGAACACATGCGTTTTTGCGGTCATCATTTCTGCAAGCATTTTTGTGTTCTGCTATTCTAATGTCCAGAGTTCTGGCTGTTTCCCTACATATACTTTGTCACACCCCCCACATGGTATAGTGTAGATTCCTGCACTTGTGCCAGAATCATGCTTGGGTTTTTGTATCAGGTTCCTAATAGTAGTTGAAGAGCTGGTAGATATTTTAGCCAGTTTTCTGTCAAACATTTTTGAAACATTAGTGGCAACGTTGCTGACCGGTAAAACGATGTAACTTGGAGGCTTTTCTTCAATTTGATAGGTGTTGGTCTTGCTGAGGATACGTGCCGCACGTTTCCTACAGTCACGTATGAAGTGTAGGGGAAAGTGCAGTGAACTAAAGAGTTGGTGATGTATGTACATTCTTCTTCGAGGAACTGTGGACTGGAAATTCTGTAGGCTCTCAGAAAGAAGCCAATAACTACCCCTCTTTTAGTTCTTAGTTGAGGACAAGAAGTAGAAACAACTCTTCGGACTAGCCATGGGATCCCCCCTTAGTGCAGTTCTTGCCAATTTATATATGGAGGACCTGGAATCAAGAAGGATCCTCAGTAACATCCCTCGCTCAGTTACATGGATGCGGTACGTAGATGATATTTTGGTCATTGTACCCAAAAATCTTGACGTACAGGGCATCCTCAACACCATCAACACTCTGGAACCTACTATTAAATTTACACTAGAGGAGGAGAAGGACAACCAATTACCTTTTCTCGACGTTCTCTTACGCACAGGGGAAAACAAACTTTCTTTTAAAGTCTACCGGAAGCCTACCTACAAGAACGATCTTCTACATTTCTTCTCTCACCATGACACAAGAACTAAAAGAGGGGTAGTTATTGGCTTCTTTCTGAGAGCCTACAGAATTTCCAGTCCACAGTTCCTCGAAGAAGAATGTACATACATCACCAACTCTTTTAGTTCACTGCACTTTCCCCTACACTTCATACGTGACTGTAGGAAACGTGCGGCACGTATCCTCAGCAAGACCAACACCTATCAAATTGAAGAAAAGCCTCCAAGTTACATCGTTTTACCGGTCAGCAACGTTGCCACTAATGTTTCAAAAATGTTTGACAGAAAACTGGCTAAAATATCTACCAGCTCTTCAACTACTATTAGGAACCTGATACAAAAACCCAAGCATGATTCTGGCACAAGTGCAGGAATCTACACTATACCATGTGGGGGGTGTGACAAAGTATATGTAGGGGAAACAGCCAGAACTCTGGACATTAGGATAGCAGAACACAAAAATGCTTGCAGAAATGATGACCGCAAAAACGCATGTGTTCAACATAGAGACGATGTTGGACACCTCATGAAATTCAATGAAGCTAAACTAGTTATTAAAGAAGACGAATTAAGACGGAGAAAATGCATTGAAGCTGCACTAATTTCTGTCAGTAACACTATAAAGCAAAAATCCGGTAGTTACAATATTTCAAAATTACTAAGCAAGAGGATATTACCCATCCTGGGAACTGGTGTTACTTGATGCCAGCAGGTCCCTCTCTTGCCTCACCTCCTTAGTTCCATTACTACTACTACTACTACTACTACTACTACTACTACTACTACCACTACCACCTCTACCCACGCGTCACCTCACCTGACTCCTGCCACTATATATGTAAATGTTTTCTTAGTTTTCTCTGTATTAGGACTGAAGAAGCCACTCGTGGCGAAACGTTTCCTTTAATAAATGTCCTGAACTGTACATAAGTGTCTTTTTCCACATCTTGTCGGTATCACCATACCATTTCCTCAAAGGAGATATTAATAAAGTACTGAGGGTGTCGAACCAGGTGAGAGCCAGAAATAATGGAATTAAGTTGGATAAATTTTATCCAACTTAATTTGGAAAGGACATAGGTAAGTACTGGTTTTCTAACAGAGTTGTGGATGCGTGGAACAATCTTCCCAGTAGGGGATCTAGGCTAGGACTTTGGGTGGCTTTAAAAAGATTGAACAAATATATGAGTGGGAGGGGCTGGGTTTGATTGGTGACATTGGGAATGGGAGTAAATTCTTGGGTAGCTTTGGGTAGGGGTAGTTTTGATAAGGGCCTGCCTTGTATAGGCCAGTAGATCTTCTGCAGTGTTCCTCCATTCTTATGTTATTATGTTTTTACCGTGATTCGAGAACATACGGTGCTGTGGATGCCTCTGAGTTAATTTCATTCTACTGTCAGCTGGATGCGTGATTCTCGTAGGATTTGATGGTTATTATTATTATTATTAAAGATTCGCCGGTATTCTCCCGGCCCGGGCCTTTGCCAAGTGGTGGCCCGGCCTTGGCTCCCTCTTTAGGGAGTGTCTGAGACCTAAGTCTCCCATGGGAGGAGGCACAAGTGCCTCCTCATCTTTGTGACCAGCTGTCCCCAGGCCCAGCCACAAGCTAGGCCTCTCTGGTCTGCCATCCCCGCCCCAAGGAGGCTAATGGGAATGACAGTCTTGTCAACTGCAAGCTCCGGCTCAGGCACCTACCCTGCCCTAGAAGGGCTGGGCATGGTGTCGATCCCATTTGATGGTCCTGTGGGTTAGAGCGTCATGAGATTTTCACTCACCATGAGGTAGGCCAAAACAACATGGGTTCGAGTCCTTGGCTAGTCACAGTGTTGTTTGATCAATACCACTTGTTCGTGGTTACATTAATATAAAATACTGCTCGTTGAGGCTAGTACACTAAACGGGGAGCAGAATGAATTAGATCAGAGGCACCCACACCACCGTATGTTCTCGGATCACGGTAAAACTCCTAGTTCTGCTGGGTGCATGATTCTTGCAAGATTTGGTGGTCCTGTGGGTTAGTGTCATGTGGTTTTCGCTCACCATGACGCTGGCCAAAAGAATATGGGTTCGAGTCCTTCGCTAGTCGCAGTGTTGATCAATACCACTTGTTCGTGGTTGAAATAATATATATATATAATATATATATATATATATATATATATATATATATATATATATATATATATATATATATATATATATATATATATGAAGATTGAGACACTTATGCAGCATATGGGAATCTTTATTCAGGAAACGTTTCGCCACACAGTGGCTTCATCAGTCCAATACAAAGAGGAAGGCGTAAGGAGAGGAGGAGAATGAGGTAATCAGTCCCTCAACCTGGAGTCGATGTGTTCAGTCCATCACACACACACATATATATATAATATATATATATATATATATATATATATATATATATATATATATATATATATATATATATATATATATACATACATAACAGTGTTATAATGTACCCTCTGTTGAACCGTCATTTAGCACAAGATAGCTAAACACTGCTGCAGTATGCAGTCTTGCTGAATAACACCAAATCCATAAGCAGACACTACCTACCTCACTCGTTAATATGATTTCTTCCGTATTATTGACGCCATCCACATTCAAGACTAATGCTATCTGTGGAGAGCCTCCCAGGGTCGTGTGTTTCACGGCGGGTGTTTGACCGTCGGTGAGATCCACAGTCACCTCACAGCCTGAAGTTGTATTCCTCACTACACCTGCAAGACATCACTTACTGAATCTCACTTACAAATGCGGGTAAATGCCGTTTTGACTGATTAATAAGACATATGTGCAACACCTGGGGCATCTTAATTACGAGACCTGCTGGCCAACCATTGGCCAGCATGTCTCGTAATTAAGATGCCTTGAGACATTGTAATTGGTTAAGTCTAAATACAATTTGTAGATGAATGGTTCAGAGAACCGACATGTTGATAAATTAGACACATGTGCAACTCTTGGGTATCTTTATTGAGGAATAAAGATACCCAAGAGTTGCACATGTGTCTAATTTATCTAAATACAATTGGCTGTATATCACCTGTGTGCTATCAGTCACAGAGACTGACTTAAATGCTAGTGATTTACACCCTGAGAGATATACACATCTTAGTGTGAGATTAAGACACATGTGCAACATCTGGGTATCTTTATTGTAGACGTTTCGCCCTACTCCTAGGTTGAGGGACTGATTACCTCATCTTCTGTACATAGTTCTACTGTCTTCAAGTTATGTCCTAGAATTTGTATTGATAAAGCCACTGGATGGCGAAACGTCTACAATAAAGATACCCAGATGTTGCACATGTGTCTTAATCTCATTTTGTCGGTATTGTATACCATTCGTACACATCTTAGTGTGTATACTAATTTAACTATTATTGTTATTATTAATACTGTAGTTGTTACCTTGTGCGGATTTTAGTGTGTTCACAGCCACAAAGGAGAGGACAGTGAATAGTAAATGTTTATTCTCCATCTTTCCTCAGCGTACTGTAGTGCGGGTGTCACTTGTCACGTCCTCAGCGTGCTGTAGTGCGGGTGTCACTTGTCACGTCCTCAGCGTGCTGTAGTGCGGGTGTCACTTGTCACGTCCTCAGTGTGCTGTAGTGCGGGTGTCACTTGTCACGTCCTCAGCGTACTGTAGTGAGTGTGTTACTTGTCACGTCCTCAGCGTACTGTAGTGAGTGTGTTACTTGTCACGTCCTCAGCGTACTGTAGTGCGGGTGTCACTTGTCACGTCCTCAGCGTGCTGTAGTGCGGGTGTCACTTGTCACGTCCTCAGCGTGCTGTAGTGCGGGTGTCACTTGTCACGTCCTCAGCGTGCTGTAGTGCAGGTGTCACCTGTCACGTCCTCAGCCTGTTCTATGCCGGGCGTCACCTGTCTTCTCTTACAGTATTACCTTCATAACTTTGTTCTCTCCTAAACCTGCCTGACACTGATACAACATTAATTTGTGAGTATACTCAGATATACTACGCCTAGCAACCCTTTCTAGAGGCCTAGTTTCTAGGCCTTCTGTATCAGTATGCTCTTGCGCCACCGTCCACAGGACAGTAAACTATCCACTTCAGTGGCAAAAAAATCTCAGCCTATGCTGACCAACTCTCTGAAAATACACATTTAAATTTTTTGAACTTCTCACTAATATCAATGATTATTATCTTGATATTTCCGTTCTCTTAACTTCTGCAAATTATTATCGTCCTGGATTATTGCTCGTGTCGTAGACGACAACCAAGAATCCCTTTCAGCTTATAATTTTCGTCTGCTTTTTGTTCCGTGTAACTGTTGAGTGTGGTGGAGAGTATGAGTGCTAGTGCTCTGAGTGACGTCTGGTAACTGAGTGTGTGTGTGTCCGCTGGTTGGGCGCTGATCCTCTCTGATTATAACACTGGTTGTCGTCAGGGCTCGTGTCCGGTGTTGAGACAACAACAACAACAACAACCTCAAGCTTAGGTAAAATGAAGCAAGTGCAACTAAAGTGACATTTTTATTGTAGCAACGTTTCACTCTCGAGGAGCTTTGTCAAGCCGTTACAAACAAGGACACAGAGGGAATATTTAGGTATTAGAGTGAGGTGCAAGACACCTGCGACAGACAACCCATCAGAAACAAGTGTTTAGTACTGAACACTTACGTCACTAATATCCAAACCTGACATATATTCTATGACCATTGGGTCGTAGAATATACCTCCCTTCCCCCACACACATCCTCTTGGCCCTCCAGGAGGAGACTGTTACAGACCCTCTGCACTTATTCCTTTACTTTTACCTCTGATTACTATTGTCACAGGAGTATAATCTGAATTTCCACTGTTTGTCAGCGAGGTGACGACACTACCTGCCTGCCTTGCTGGCCTCTCCTACCTTACCCTCCCTTCCCTGGTGAGAGGCTATTGATCTAAGGAATTGAATTTGTGCTCCAGATTCCTAAGTTGAGCCTCAAGGCCTTCCTTCATTCCCCCCCCCCCACAGGCGCTGTATAATTCCTATGGGTTTAGCGCTCCCCCTTGATAATAATAAAGTTAGTTATCACTGTTGCTAATTTTAATGCTTGGCAGAGATGGAGATAGTTCTCATTGTTATTAAGTTTAATGTTTGCAAGAAGCGTTATTTATCACAGTTGATAAGTTTGTTGTGTACATTCTTGTTATTTCTGCTGTTGACGAACCAACGTCGCGTGCTGACGTCGCGTGCTGACGTCGTGTGCTGACGTCATTCGGCCAGCGGATGTGGCAAGATAACGTCAGCTCTCGGAGACTCGGTAGTGAGCTGAAGGATCGAGCCTACACCACCAAGCTTGGTAGTTACGGGCGAAACATGCTTGAAGTGTGTGCTTTCAACACACACACACACACACACACACACTAGGAGCCAGGAGCCAGGAGCTAGGCCTCGACCCCTGCAACCTCAACTAGCTGAGTACACATACACACACATACACGTATCAACACAGTGAGGTAGAGTGGAAGGGTGAAAGTGATCAAGCGCCCCCTCCCTCCCCCTCCCCCTCCCCCCTCCTTCCCTCCCCCCTCCCCCCCCCCCCCCTCTCCTCCCTCCCCCTCCCTCCCCCTCCCTCCCTCCCTCCCCCCCCCCTCCCCTCCCCCACACAAACCACCAGGCCCCCTGGCGGCATTAAAGTGCACCTCACGTGCACTTCAAGGGGACCAGAGTGAGGTACAGGGTAGCAAGCCGTGGGAACAAGATCTTGGAGGTGATGTTATTGATGTTTGATCTTATTAATGTTTGTGGTGGGAGGCGAGGGAGAGAGGAAGGGAGATTAAAGAGAGGAAAAAAAGGAGGGAGGAAGGAACGAAGTGTAAAGAGGGAGGGCAAGTCATGACCACCGCGTAGTCATCACTGGGTAGTAACCACCGGGTAGAAACCACTAGGTACTAACTGGGTAGTAACCACCGGGTAATAACCACTGGGTAGTAGCCACTGGTTAACTCTTACGGGTGTCATGTAAAGTAATTGGGTTGAGTACACACACACACACACAAACTAAGCGCATTAGAGAATGGAAGAGGTACAGAAGGCAAAGGACCCAGGAAAATAAGGAAATCAGTTGAAGAGCCAGAAACGAGTATGCACAGATAAAGAGGGAGGCCCAGCGACAGTTCGAAAATGACATAGCATCGAAAGTCAAGTCTGACCCGAAACTGCTGTTCAGCCACATCAGGAGAAAGACAACAAAGTCCTGGTGATCAGGCTGAGGAAAGAAGGTGGGGAACTCACATGAAACGATCAAGAGGTATGTGAGGAGCTCAACACGAGATTTAAGGAAATATTCAGAGTGGAGACAGGAAGGACTCTGGAAAGACAGGACAGAGAGGGACACCAACAGGATATACACCAACAAGTGCTGGATGACATACACACAACTGAGGAGCAGGTGAAGAAGCTGCAAAGTGACCTTGATACCTCAAAGGCAATGGGACCAGACAACATCTTCCAGTGGGTTCTTAGAAAGGGAGCAGAAATGCTGTGTGTGCCATTAACCACAATCTTCAACACATCCCTTGAAACTGGGGAACTACCTGAAGTATGGAAGACGGCAAATGTAGTTCCCAATTTTAAAAAAGGAGACAGAAAAGAGGCACTAAACTACAGACGAGTGTCACTGACGTGTATGGTATGCAAAGTCATGGAGAAGATTATCAGGAGAGTGGTGGAGCACCTGGAATGGAACAAAAGTATAAACAACAACAAGCACAGTTTCATGGAAGGCAAATCCTGTGTCACAAACCTTCTGGAGTTTGATGATAAAGTAACAGAAGACACGAGAGAGAGGGGTGGGTTGATTGCATTTTCTTGGACTGCAAGAAGGTCTTCGACACAGTTCCTCACAAGAGATTAGGGCACTTCAATTAATCAGAGAATACCTGACAGGGAGGCAACAACGAGTCATGGTACGTGATGAGGAAATACAGTGGGCTCCTGTAACGAGCGGGGTCCCACAAGGGTCGGTCCTAGGACCAGTGCTATTTTTGGTATATGTGAATGACATGATGGAAGGGATAGATTCAGAGGTGTCCCTGTTCCCAGGTGATGTGACGTTAATGAGGAGAATTAAATCAGATGAGGATCAGGCAGGACCTCAAAGAGACCTGGACAGGCTGGACACGTAGTCCAGCAACTGGCTTCTCGAATTCAACCCTGCCAAATGTAGAGTCATGAAGAGCGGAGAAGGGCAAAGAAGACCACAGACAGAGTATAGGCTAGGTGGCCAACGACTGCAAACCTCGCTCAAGGAGAAAGATCTTGGGGTGAGTATAACACCGAGCATGTCTCCGGAAGCACACATCAAACAGATAACTGTTGCAGCATATGGGCGCCTGGCAAACCTGAGAACAGCGTTCCGATACCTTAGTAAGGAATCTTTCAAGACACAGTACACCGGGTACGTCAGGCCCATACTAGAGTATGCAGCACCAGTTTGGAACCCGCACCGGGTCAAGCACGTTAAGAAATTAGAGAAAGTGCAAAGGTTTGCGACAAAGTTAGTTCCAGAGCTAAAGGGAATGTCCTACGATGAAAGGTTGAGGGAAATCGGCCTGACGACACTGGAGGACAGGAGGGTTAGGGGAGACATAATTACCTGGAGTTTATCTGGAGAGAGTTCCGGGGGTCAACGCCCCCGCGGCCCGGTCTGTGACCAGGCCTCCTGGTGGATCAGAGCCTGATCAACCAGGCTGTTGCTGCTGGCTGCCCGCAAACCAATGTACGAGCCACAGCCCAGCTGATCAGGAACTGACTTTAGGTGCTTGTCCAGTGCCAGCTTGAAGACTGCCAGGGGTCTGTTGGTAATCCCCCTTATGTGTGCTGGGAGGCAGTTGAACAGTCTCGGGCCCCTGACACTTATTTTATGGTCTCTTAACGTGCTAGTGACACCCCTGCTTTTCATTGGGGGATGGTGCATCGTCTGCCAAGTCTTTTGCTTTCGTAGTGAGTGATTTTCATGTGCAAGTTCGGTACTAGTCCCTCTAGGATTTTCCAGGTGTATATAATCATGTATCTCTCCCTCCTGCGTTCCAGGGAATACAGGTTTAGGAACCTCAAGCGCTCCCAGTAATTGAGGTGTTTTATCTCCGTTATGTGCGCCGTGAAAGTTCTCTGTACATTTTCTAGGTCGGCAATTTCACCTGCCTTGAAAGGTGCTGTTAGTGTGCAGCAATATTCCAGCCTAGATAGAACAAGTGACCTGAAGAGTGTCATCATGGGCTTGGCCTCCCTAGTTTTGAAGGTTCTCATTATCCATCCTGTCATTTTTCTAGCAGATGCGATTGATACAATGTTATGGTCCTTGAAGGTGAGATCCTCCGACATGATCACTCCCAGGTCTTTGACGTTGGTGTTTCGCTCTATTTTGTGGCCAGAATTTGTTTTGTACTCTGATGAAGATTTAATTTCCTCATGTTTACCATATCTGAGTAATTGAATAATAGCGACATACAAAATACTGCGTGGAATAGACAAGGTGGACAGAGACAAGATATTCCAGAGAGGGGACACAGAATCAAGGGGTCACTCTTGGAAGTTGAAGACTCAGATGAGCCACGGGGATGTTAGGAAGCATTTCTCCAGTCATAGAGTCGTCAGGAAGTGGAACAGTCTAGCGAGCGATGTAGTGTAGAGGCAGGAATCATACATAGCTTTAAGACTAGGTATGATACAGCTCATGGAGCAGTGGGAGAGAGGACCTAGTAGCGTTCAGTGAAGAGGCTGGGCCAGGAGCTGAGTCTCGACCCCTGCAACTACAATTAGGTGAGTACACACAAACACACACAGTCACGTGTGTGTGGGGTTAAACACCTTGTTAAGAGGGGTGAATGTCCTTTGACACGTGGCTACCTCCCCTCCTCTTCCCCTCATCTCCATTCCCCTCCCCTCCCTTCCCTACTCCTACCCTCCCCTCATCTCCCTTCTCCCCTTCGGCTCTCCTCTCTCATCTCTCTTCTCTCTCTCTCTTCTCTCTCTCCTCTCTCTCTCTCTCTCTCTCTCTCTCTCTCTCTCTCTCTCTCTCTCTCTCTCTCTCTCTCTCTCCTCTCTCTCTCTCTCTCTCTCCCCTCTTCAAGGAAGGCTCTTTGACACCAGTGAGAGGCTCTTGATCCAAGGAATTGGAGTTACCTTCCCCTTCAGTATCTCAAACATGATTGCCTCCATTCTCCCTCCTCCCAGGCGCTTTGTAACCCTTGCGGGTTTTGCGTTTCCTATAAATATTAATAATAATAATAATAATGAAAATAATAATAAAATAATAATAATGATAATAGTGAAAATAATAATAATGATACTTTTCTTTCCTCTCCTATAACAATAATTTTA